ATATCACCATGAAACTTCACCACTTCATCACTCACATTAAGAAGACTCTACAGGTGAATAGAGTCACAACATGACCTCATAGATATCACCATGAAACTTCACCACTTCATCACTCACATTAAGAAGACTACAGGTGAATAGGGTCACAACATGAACTCACATATATCACCATGAAACTTCACCACTTCATCACTCACATTAAGAAGACTCTACAGGTGAATAGAGTCACAACATGACCTCACAGATATCACCATGAAACTTCACCACTTCATCACTCACATTAAGAGGAGTATTTATTGTGTTACAAGTTTTCTGAAATGTTATGTTTAAATATGCAAATGAGGCGTTATGTAAAGTAACTTTTGGTGAATTTAGGAGAAATCTACAGACAGACAAAGTAGTAAAATAAACGTTTTCTTTCTACTTCATGACCATTGCATGAAGTAGGATATCTTCCGCCTGTGTTGAATCACCTTAGAATGAAACGTAACTTTATGACTTTCTTCTCTTTGCAGTTGAACTACAGAGCAAAGTACGAGGACACAAAGTTCAAGAACTGTCTCCCTCCAGACTATCCCTTCTTCATCCAGTCCAGAGTCAACGCCTTCAACCTCAGTGATGTAAGAAGCCGCTCCACTCCTCATCTTCTCAGCTGAAATTGAATGTCTGTGAGCTTTAGACTCAATACTTTTTAGACTGTTAGTTTCCTGAACAGCTCGACTTTCTCTTTGCAGAACTGTTACAAGTACGATTGGGAGAAATCCAAAGCGAAGAAGTTTGAGATCAAAGGCGACACCATCTCGATCCTCGCCGCCCGGGCTCACACAAACATCGCCAGTGATGTGAGTATCACATCAGCCGCTAGGGTTTCTGTATGTCAGGTATATTAATCTACTAATTGCTCACCTTTTATTCTTCCTTGCAGGTTAAATATAAGAAGGAGTATGAGAAGAACAAAGGACAGATGGTCGGAGCCCTCAGCATTAATGACGACCCCAAGATCTTACACTCCGTTCACGTGGCCAAAATCCAGAGTGACGTGAGTCGTTTGCTCTCTGCATTAAAAACTTTACTTCCCTTAACTCTCTGAAACCAAAGCAGTTTCTGGGTGTTTTTTCGCTCCCTTCACATTTTACTCTCTGTGGTCTTTTTTTCACTTCAAAATAAAAGTCCTGCTCCTCTATAGAAATAGAACCATCATGAATAGAAGTAGAGAGAACTAGAACACGTCTTCAGTGCAGAACAACACAGTTATAACGACATAAATCATGAAAAAGTTTAATTTCTCAGATAATTTAATTAACAGGCTCCACGTGTTATATATATATTTAACTATTTACACTCTAACAGCCTCTCCTCTTCTCTCCTCTCCTCTCCCCTCTCCTCTCCTCTCCCCTCTCCCCTCTCCTCTCCTCTCCTCTCCCCTCTCCTCTCCTCTCCTCTCTCCTCCTCCCTCTCTCCTCTCCTCTCCCCTCCTCTCCTCTCTCCTCCTCCCTCTCTCCTCTCCTCTCCTCTCCTCTCTCCTCCTCCCTCTCTCCTCTCCTCTCTCCTCCCTCTCTCCTCTCCTCTCCTCTCCTCCCCTCTCCTCCCTCTCTCCTCCTCCCTCTCTCCTCTCCTCTCCCCTCCTCTCCTCTCTCCTCTCCTCTCCTCTTGCATTATAAATGCAGTACATTAAAGCCATGAATAAGGCTAAATTGACTACATTTACCATCACCACTGCTCCACTTAAAGGTTGTGACTTCTCCCTTCTGATATGAATTCATCTGAGCTGAAGAGTTCAACAATCTCTCCCTGATTATCTCCACAGCGTGAATATAAAAAGGACTATGAAAAGATAAAGACCAAGTACCACGTTCCGCTGGACATGATGTCAGTCACCTTGGCTAAGAAGTCCCAGGGCATCGCCAGCATGACGGGTTACAGGAAAATCAGCCCCAACTACCTCCTTCCTCCTGACAGTGTGCTGCTGAGCTTGGCCAAGAAAGCCAACGTCATCCAGAGTGACGTAAGTATTTCATCCTAATAGAAAACCTGTACTTGTACTCGCATGGTTATTTTGAGAGTAATTATATATATATTCAGTGACACCATTTGATTTTGTGTTTTTCTGCGTCGCAGAATGACTACAAGTCCGACTACAACATCTACACCAAGGGAACCCCGTGGATTCCCTTCGGCTCCCTGGAGGTGGAGAAGAATAAGAAAGCCGGTGACATCCTGAGTGAGGTATGTGTGTCGCTTCAGTCTTCCTCTACACTCATGACGTGTTATTTAATTACTTGTTAACAGTGTACTTTACTATCTTCCTGCAGAGGAAATACAGACAACACCCCGACAAGTTCCCCTTCACCTCTATCGACGACCACCCCGTCATGATGCAGGCCAAAGTCAACCAGCTTCAGAGGAGTGATGTGAGTCACGTTTAGCTCTCGTTGGAGATCTTTCTCACGTCTCTTTTGTTCGGCTCTTGTTGAACTCTGCCCGTGGGGCTTGTTTTCTGCCTTCCAGCTGTTCTACAAGAGAGGTCTGGAGAAGATCCACCAGAAGTACTCTCTGCCTGCTGATCTCCCCGAGTTCCAACAGGCCAAGTGCAACGCCTACAACATCAGCAAGGTGAGAAAAAGAAACACCGAGAGACCACTTTAACAACAAATCACACAAACCAAGTATTATTTTATAACTAGGGATGGGTATGGTAGGATTTTATTCATACTAGAACTCTAATCGATACTCTTATCGGTTCTTTTTGATTATTTTGTGAGAAAAAGAGACAATAAATTAATAAAAGAATCATCATTTCTTTATTATTCTTGGATGTAAATAAATAATATTTCTTGAGCAGCAACACAAGAAGTTCTAACATCTTTAAAATCGATTCTCAGCTCAACAATGTTTTATTGTGTTTGAGACGACCAGACTTCTACAATGTTTCCTTCTCTCTGATCAAGCTGTACTGAGAGGAGACAAAGAGACAGAGACAGAGAGAGACACAGAGACAGATACAAAGACAGAGAGACAGATACAAACACAGAGAGACAGATACAGAGACAGATACAAAGACAGAGAGACAGAGAGAGGACGTTTGATACGAGGACGTCTCACTCCAGAACTAAGAAAGTACTGATAGCAGAACTGATAACTCTGAACCACATCAATACTCTGGGTTTTTACTCACTTAGAACCGGTTCCCGTTAAGAACCGAGTTTCCTGGGGGATCCCTACTAATAGCACGCTTCAGTTATTTTTGTTATATTTTCATTAATTTCCTCCTAAATTTGATATACTGTATATGTCACTGGGGTCAGAGGTCATCACTCTTCAACCCCCCAGGAAGTTTATTGAAAAAGCAGCCAAATTCACAATTTATAGACAAAATGCCACTAATGGATAAATATGGTTGATCAGCATACCTGAATAATGTCACTAATAAGTCCCTCAGGATCACATCTCGTACCCAAGTGCACCACAGTGGCACCAAGAGAGCTTGGCCACGAAACTAACGTAAGTGGAACGCTGCCGATGCACTTGGCAAGTTGTACTCGACTGCGATCTGGACTCCCTGCTGGGTTCATGGAAATAGAGCCCGTGGTGTCCTCTTGCAGGCCATAAATTGCATCGCTCCGATTTACCTTCAGGAGCTCCTCACCCCTCCATCCTCACCCCTCCATCCTCACCCCTCCATCCTCACCCCTCCATCCTCACCCCTCCATCCTCACCCCTCCATCCTCACCCCTCCATCATCACCCCTCAATCTTCACCCCTCCATCATCACCCCTCAATCCTCACTCCTCCATCCTCACCCCTCCATCCTAACCCCTCCATCCTCACCCCTCCATCTTCATAGAGATGGATAACTGAAACATGAGGCATCATTAATAAAATGTTGAATTAAGCTCCACACAGTGAGTGGTGATCAGACCGAACTCGTCTGCAAGTTTTCAGCAGCAGCTGAGTTAGTTTCAGGTTTAATTCTCCTCGTTCACACGGATCATATTCTTTATTTGTCAGCTGTTCATTCTAAACATTAACATGCATGTAAACTGTCACGTTGAATGTATCCACTTATAGATATGGACGTTAAGGTAACGGTTGTGTGAGAGCGCGTGGATTGCGTGGATTGTGTGAGTCTCGTGGTGAATGAGTGAAATGCAGTGTGTGTAGTGGATTCATGTTGTTGTATCTGTAATCTGTGATTTCAGAACTGCTACAAGCATGCCTGGGAGGAGTTGATTGCTAAAGGTTATGACCTGAAGTCTGACGCTATCTCCATTGTCGTTGCCAAAGCTGCCAGACATGCTGCCAGTAATGTAAGTTCCATTTTAACATGCTCTGTACCAGACATATTGTTCTTTTTGTTGCTTTAAATAACCGTTCAAATTCTTTAAACTCTAAATAATTAGAGATGTTAAACGTCCTTTAACCTCTAGGTCCAGTATAAAAAGGCTTACGAGAAGGCCAGAGGCCACCACGTGGGCTTCCGCAGCATCCAGGACGACCCTCTGCTGGTTCACTACATGGCGGTGGCCAAGATGCAGAGCGAAAAGAACTACAAGAAGGACTACCACAAGGCCAAGCTGAAGTATCACACCCCAGTGGACATGCTGAGCGTGGTCCACGCCAAACATGCCTCTGCTGTGCAGACCTATGCTGGCTACAAGCAGCCCAACCACAAGTACTCCCTGCTGCCCGACGCCATGAGTGTGGGCCTCGCTCGCAACATGAACTACAATGCCAGTGATGTAAGTTTGATTTTAGGGACTTTGGTGTGATAATGTAGGTAAATACCCTATGTCTTGGCTTAAATAGAGAGTTTCTGCAAGTCTGATAAGCTACTTTTCTCTTTTCCTTTCTAGGTTAACTATAAACAGGATTATGAGACCTCAGTCAAGGGAATCGGCTGGGTTCCTATTGGTTCCCTGGAAGTGGAAAAAGCCAAGAAAGCAGGGGCAGCTCTGAATGAGAAGAATTACCGCCAGCACCCTGACACCTTAAAATTCACCAGCACCGTTGACTCCATGAGCATGGAGCTGGCCAAGACCAATGCCAAGATCATGAATACGGTGAGAATGAGCAAATATAAATCTGGTGATTGTTAGTCTTTGAATTCCTTCTCAGAATAGACATAAAACCGATCTCTTCATTGTGATTATGCAGAAAGAGTACAAGGCCAGTGGAGAGAAGTTCATGCACACTTACCATCTCCCCGCTGATCTTCCTGAATTGATGCAAGCCAGATACAACGCCGTCAACATCAGCAAGGTCAGTTGCAGATTCTTGTCTGGCGTGTGTGTGTGTGCACACGTAGAATGCATAAAGAAATGAAATAGTTGCTGTATTTGTAACATAACACTGATTTTGTTTAGAATTGCTACACCTATGCTCATCGTCAAGATCTGCTCAAAGGACATCATGTGAAGGAAGATGCTATTTCCATTGTTGCAGCGAGAAGCTCCAGAGACATTGCCAGCGATGTAAGTTGTGAATATGGTAAAAATATAATACTATTCAAATGTTACTGAAATGGTGGGAATTTGAAATTAAGATTGAGAACCAAGTTGTCTTTCAAGAGTTTATTATAGCTTTTGCATATAGGCTCAGATCATACAGCGATCAATGGTCTCCACAGAACTATTAAAGGTACACTTCTATACCTTTGCTCTAAAGGATGTAGGTGTTATATGTGTATCTGCTCGGAGACAGACGGTAAGGAAAAGAAGTGAAATGTTAAAAAGAAGTGAGAGTTGAAAGGGAGGTGATAGTTAAGAAAAACAAGTTTCATTTTGTATATATCCTGTAGTTAGACAACGACAATAATCAAAACATTTCTTTCACATTTTCCCCCTTTTATCATACTATGCAAATCAAAATAATGATGGCAAATGTAATGTGTTTCCTTTGTACAGTACAAGTACAAGCTGGCTTACGAGAAGGCCAGAGGCCACCACGTCGGCCACCGCAGCATCCAGGACGACCCTCTGCTGGTTCACTACATGGCGGTGGCTAAGATGCAGAGCGAAAAGAACTACAAGAAGGACTACAACAAGGCCAAGCTGAAGTATCACTCCCCAGTGGACATGATGAGCGTGATGCACGCCAAGAAGGCCTCTGCTGCTCAGACTATGACTGGATACAGGAAGATCCAGCACAGTTACTCTCTGCTCCCTGATGCCATAAACCTGCAACAGGCTCGCAAAATGCAGTTCATCGCCAGTGATGTATGTAGAGTTTGACTTAATCGTCTTTTAAATTTACATTTATTTGTAGATTTTAAAACAAAAATCCAAAGCTCTACATTACTGTGCTGCATTGTGAAGTAAATCTGTTGATATTCTCCCTCAGAACCAGTACAAGAGTGATTATGACAGCTTCATGAAGGGAATAGGATGGGTTCCTATTGGATCGTTCGATGTTGAGAGAGCAAAAACAGCTGGAAAGATCTTCAGTGAGGCCCGGTACCGTCAACTTCCGAATAAGTTCAAATTCACTAAGGACATGCACTCCATGGATCTGACACTGGCCACTGCCAACAACCAGATAATGAATAAGGTACTGGATGGGACTAGCTGTGAAAATGACACAAATATCTCTTCTCTAGCATCTATGTCTAAGATATGAAGCCATCCACTACATTTATGTTTTTAGCAATCCTACATCACCGCCTGGGAGAAAGCCAAGACTTCCATCCACATCATGCCTGATGCGATGGGCATTGTTCTTGCCAGAGGAAACAAGAAGAACGTCAGTGAGGTACAGTGATAACTTCATTTTTCCTCACAATTTTCTTGCTCAGTCATGATTTGTAAGGTAAAAAATACAATAATAACACTTTATAATAACCATCATTAATAAATGGCCAATTACAGTTTAGTTAATAGTTATTTTACTGTTAACACAGAATTAAATATCTTTGTGCTTAGTGTTTTGTTTTTGCACTGCACTGCACTGTTTTAACTTATTGTGATCATATGAAATGATTTGTTTCTAAATTTGTTTCTAAATCATAAATTGTACCATAGCTTATATGAGACGATACAAATTATATTCTAATTACATTAGTAAAATATTTATTAACAGTTCATTGTTGCACACATTATAACATGTTATTTACTATATTAGGCATGTTTTCATGATTACCAAATGATTTATAAACCTTTAGGACATTGTTTTTAAAACATCTATAAACATTACATAGATTGCTGGACCAGAAACCAATCATCCACCATTTAGTGTTAACTATCTGTCTAAACAATGTTTATAGACCCTTTACAAAGTA